ACAATTGAAATGCATTTGATCCATTTTAACCAGAATACCAGTAAGAAATATGTTTCCCTGGCATTGCTTATGGATTTCCAAATGCATATATTACTAGGGAGGGCCTTGGGAAAAAACTATTAATAGTATGTAATTCATTTACTACATTTCCATTTTAGAACCCTTTCTTCTGTTTTGTCTACATCCCTTCTACTCATCCACCCATATCTCATGCATCTGTTCCCATAGCAATGTTGTCAAGATGGATGTGTTTTCACAAGGGTTTCTGGAATATGGAAATCATGAGGACTTACAAAAGAATCATCTAATTGTAGAACTCTAAGAACTTAATACTTGAGGGAAAAAGACAGGACACTTCCATCACATCAGCCAAACAACTTTTAATTAAGAATAAATGTAGAAATCCCTTGATGCTTATTCTTACCAGTTTTCTTCATTAGGAGGCAAGGCTTAAAGGTCAAATATACTATCCTATGAAAGAGTTCATATCATTCATTCAAGAAAGATTTACTGAATTTTCCCAAAGTAGTTGGATCTATCTAGGTTTCACAGTAATTTAAAAAATTTAAAAGTATCATAAAATATATAAAGTGCTGTGAGGGTTTAAATGGGGAGAATACTTCTAACTGAAGCAGGTAGTTTCAGGTATTGTTTAATTGGTTAAGTCCTCAGTAATATCCCACCAATCACATGTGGCCAAGAACTCTGAAGTGGAGAGTTATTGCAGTTGAATTTGCAGACTAAATGTACAATTTCAGCTTTGAAGTGTAGCAAGTAGGCTCACTGAGTCATAGTCAAATTTCCCTCACAGAATCCATAATTGCAACTATTATCTATGACATTCTTTGCTAGGCTGTGCAGCATATTTAGCTTGTCAGGTATGCTCGGCAAGTTGTAAGGCTACCTGAGTTGCCAGAGGTACAGCACACACTACTGTTAGGCTTCATCTTCTCATCCATTGCTAAGTCTTCCACTTTATACTCCCTGTGTCTTCTTTCCTATTTAGATCTCAGTAAAAATTTGTTTGACAAAAAGACAGATTATCATAAGTGACAGTTGCATTACCAAAAGGAGGGTAAAAAAACATTTTCACTGGCAATAAAATAAAATCAAATGCTTTCCTCCATCCTCTTTGAAAACTCTTCCTCCTTCATGATTTGGAATCTGTCACTTTGTTAGCTGTTTAACCCTTTGGGAGGTTGAGAGTGGGGAAGAGCCAGGTAAAAGTGTCATCATAAGATCAAGGGTTTATTCTTTGAATAGAAATGTTGACTATGTGCTTCTGTTTGACCACAGAGTAGATGAAATCCAAAACTAACAAAACAGCTTTCTTACCCATTAATATCAGTGTATGGACAGTTTTAGATTTCCATGATCTGAATTTATTTGTTTCATACTCAGTTATATCCAAACATAAGAAAGTAAAAACATGGGACTGGAGTTGTAGCTTAATGGTAGAGTACTTGCCTAGCACGTGTGAGGCACTGGGTTTGATCCTCAGTACCACATAAAAATAAATAAATAAAGGTATTATGCCCATCTACAACTAAAAATATATTTTTTTTTAAAAAGTAAAAACAGTGATGAAGGATTATACAATAGGAAACTGTGACGGGTTGTATCTGCAAATCCCCTCTGTCACATACATTCCTTTCCAGGAAGGAGAATATATTTCTTTGCTCTAGCAAATGAAAAAGGAAGAGAAATGTAAGAATTTCTATAAAATGAGAATGGGAATTAGATAACATGGCATAGGGATTTGGAGTAGTCCTCCTCTTCTGCTTTTCCAAATGCCTTAGTGGCTACCTCTGCCATGACCCCCCTAGCTCTTCAACCCTGGAAAAGCTTGGTGCAGAGCTGAACAGGAGTACTTAGCTCCAGGTACTATCCTGATAAAAGCAACAAAGCCCTATGGACCTTTTGCTAAGTGAAGGTAGACTCCTTTAAATCAGGAATCAGTTACTATGGACTGTTCAGCAAATAGAGGCCACTTTCTATTTTTGCAAAGAACATACACTGGGAAACAGCCAGGCCTATTTGTTTAAGTGTCTTATTTCAGGATCTTTTCATGCTACAGAGGCAGAGCTGAATAGTTGTTGAGTGCTCGCAATACATCCCATATGTCCCCAATTATTTACTACCTATATACTAGGTAGTATTATACTGGTCCTTTAGAGAAAAAAAAATTGCTACCTTAAAGCTCTAATAAAATAAATAAATAAAAAGAGAAAAAGAATGTTTGCTGATCCCTCATTTAAGTCTTTTTCACTGTACAGTTAGGCTACTTTTGAAGACTAAAGCTAGAGAATAAAGAAGGACACAGGAAATTGTGGTCACTGGAATTCAATACCTTAACTACATAATGTTTTGAAACAGAAGTAGATTACATACATTCCTGTGATTATCTGGTATTCATTGTAACAGTGTCAAGAGGAATAACTAATATTTGCTAGGGATCTACATATTCTGGGCATCGTGCTGAAAATTTTCCATAAAACAGGTGTTTGAATTACTTGTCAAGGGAATTGAGTCTTTCCCAAATTGAGATGGGGTTTTAGGGGAAAACAGCAAACCAACAGTTCACGCCATGTACTCAAGTTTTATGACCCTAGACTTTGGAGGGGGCAATGGGTTCCAACACAGCCACCTGATGTTCATTAGTGCCCAGACACAAATGCTATTGAACTTAATCTCCTAGTTTGAAATATACTTTCCCTACTCAAGGTCCTTGCTCAAAGTCAGAGATGGATGACTTTAGACGCACATGCTGCAGGTCTTTTTTTAATTTTTTTTTTAATTTTAGGTGGATACAATATCTTTATTTTATTTTTATGTGGTGCTGAACATCAAACCCAGTGCCTCATACATGCTAGGCGAGCACTGTACCACTTGAGCCACAACCCTAGCCCCTTGCTGCAGGTCTTATATATGCTGTAAATGCAGAACATGATGGAACAAAACAGGAACATGCACATGCTCATTCTGTAAATTAATGATAGCATCTGTAAATTAATGGACCCACAGATACTCTGTTGTAATTATTTTTTCTAAGTGGTAACTTAAAAACCATAAACTTTAATAGTCAGATTGGATTAGAGACTTGAAATACTCCTATAAATTGCATTTCTAGAAAGACAAACATAGGAACAGTAAGTGACATATTCAGGAAGACTGGGATTGGTGGTAGAACCAGGCCTCCTGGGCAGATAATTCTGCCCAATGTGCATGTGCTCTCTTTCTCGCCTCTCTTGAACTAAATTATATCATTTGGATTAGTTCTTCATTCTGTGTCCATGTCGATCAGAAAGTGAAACTTGACATTGCCCCAGTGTTTTTAGGTTATAAATGAGACATCTCTTCCTTAGTCAAAGCTTCTGGGAAATATTCAGCCTCATGTTTTTTTCTTATACATTCATAACTATTAGAGTCTGTAAACAAGTCAAGATGGCGCCTGGCATTTTGCAGAGGGAGTTGTTTGTGAAGTAACGCCAGTGAGACATTAAGTGTGGAGATTCCTTATTGGTTGACTGCTGTATCTAGTTAATGTTAATTAAGATAAGCTGTGTGTAATGTATATATACCCCTCCGGTCCAACACTTCCACTCCTGCTGTATCAATGTACACAAGTTGTTCGTCACCCCCCGGTTAGTTTGCTGCAGCCGGACTGCGGCACATAACTTTTTGTACTCATTCATTTTCAATAAATGCCTTTTCAAGAATGTGCCTCTTCTTTTCCGGCTTGCCTGTCTGTGAATTCAATTTTCTCCAGCAGCAGTGCCTCCTACTGTTTCTAGTGAGGCCCTTCGTGTTTGGATTTTGAATCCCTTCTGAGTCAGGGAGTAGCACTCTATCCTTTCTTGGTAGACATCTACCCTCCCTTTCAGAAAAGAGTCAGGTAGGATGTCTGTGAAAACACGGGACAAAGGAAAAAAGAAGAAGAAGAAGAAGAAATAACTAAGCAAGCCAAACTGTAAGAAAAGAAGGCTTTTTCTCAAAAGGGGGGAAAAAAGTAAAAAGAAAGGGAAACGAAATGATTCTGGCAAATCTGGTTGTCTTTTCTATTCATTTGGGGGTCTGCAGAAGTGGGTTGGAGAGATTTCATGTGTTGAGGCCTCCTCCCTATGAGCTGTCCCTCAAGCTGAGCCAAAATCTGCCTGACCATCAGGGCTGCTCCGGATGGCATTGCCCCTGCCTTTTCTCATCTAAAGTAATAGAGCCCATTATGAATCTCTCTATCCTTCCATCAACTCACCTGTGATGTTAGTGCAGCAATGAGCAGTGTCAGTGTTAGCAACTGACTGTTTCACGGTGTGTAGATAACCTCTGGTATGTATTTTTTTGTTTGTTTGTTTTTAGTTGTAGTTGGACACAATACCTTTATTTTATTTATTTATTTTTATGTGGTGCTGAGGATCAAACCCAGTGCCTTGCACGTGCTAGGTGAGTGCTCTACCGCTGAGCCATAACCCCAGCCCCCTCCGACATGTTTAATGCCCTCTGTCTTCAGACTTAAGAGTTCTTCTCAGATAACTTCTAAGTTTTTGTTGTTGTTGTTGTTTTCTTTTGTTTTGTTTTGTCTTGAGACACCCATTTTTGTAGGCTGAGCATGTCCCTATTTGGGGTTAGCTGATTCTTAAGGTTATGTGATGGTGGGGAGAAGGTGTAAGAAATCTGCTACTTTGTAAGGTATCCCCAGTTTCAGCTCTGTCCTGACCACTGAGAGGCATCCAGATGACAGAGTCTGAACCACTACTTCAGTGACCCAGTTAGCAAGCCTGGATGGGACCAGAACCAACGTAGGACTTTTCCATAGTGTCCTCAAAGGCGTGTCCTCAAAGGCAGAGTGGGGTGGTAGGAAATGCTGTACACAGTGTCACCTTAGAGGGACTACATACGAAATAAGGCCTGAAAAGTCTATAAAGATATCATGGTTACCTCCACCAGTTCTGTTTTTTTAAAGTTCTTTTAAGAAAATCATCGTTCAGAAGCTGCCACCATACCTGTTGATGCTGTTTTTCTGCGCTAGCATCTGCCAGTCCTTGCCTTTGGCATTTGGGGTATCAAATGTAGCACAAATCCGCTGTCTGATAGAGTAGGGAATTTTAAAGGCTTTGGGGCCAGTCTGTGCAGGGAAACTGCTGTCCTCTTGTGCAAAGAAAGTGATGGTTTCTCTTTCACTCTAGAAACAACAGAAGGGAAGCATGATCAGTCAAAGGAAAGCATTACTGACAACATATTTATTTCTGAAAATCTGTGTTAACACACATGCACAAATGCTTGCCTGTTGTGAGGGACTCTGTAAAACACATTGACAAGTTGCCTTCTCTTCTAAAATAGTAAAGAATTTCTCTAGTGGCCTAATAAATTGTGTTCTAGAGATTTACAGCAGACCGTTCCACTCAGGGGAGTCACAATCGCCTCCAACATCCAAAGAGATGTCAGGTGACAACAGAATTAGATCTTTCTTTCTTTCTTTCTTTTTTTAAGACTTTCAGGAGTAGATCTAGAATTAGAAGGAAGCACCTTCTAAATGACGGATTTGGGTTCAGTTTAAGGAATGATCCTTTGATGGTCATCATGACCAAAGATGAATGGGCTGACCAAAGAAGCTGGCTGGGAAGCTTCTGGACAAGAAATCTACACGGAACTGATTTTGTGTTAATCATGTAAAAAGTCTGTCTTTCCCTCAGTCCTAAAGCTGTGTGATTTTCTGATGAATATTTTGCTCTCATTTCTGAATAAAATCCCTTTGCTGATGTGGAGCTACATGACATCTAGACTAGCTCTGTGCAGTGATACAGGCTGGGAAGCTTCAGACTGATATCTGCCCACCCTGCTTCTAATTTAGAGCTGTCCAATGAGGGACTTGTGGTTTCGTTGCATCACAGAATTCGTCATAATATCCTAAAAGATCACAGTGGAAAATTTTCAGACTGCTATATTTGCTGATAAGTTTAGAATTCTAACAGAATTTTAAGGACCAGAAAATATCTGATTGACTCACTTCCATATTATTACGTATCATAAAGCAAAGTGGATTCTGCTGAAGTAATTAAAATCCCTAATCAATTGACTTTGAACTAATTAAGAGATTCTCCTGGGTGGGCCTGATCTAATCAGGTGGACTTCAAAGGAGGAAGAGCTAGTTCTGGTCAGGAGGCTTCTCTTTGCAGGCCTGGAAGAAAGCAAATAGCCATTCTGTGAACTGCCTATAGGGGGAGATGTTTGGCTTGGAGTAGTGGGTGAGCCATAGTCAACAGTCAAACAGGAAAATAGAGACTTGAATCCTCTGGGCACAAGAAATTGAATAGCATCAAAATGTGAATAAGCTTGAACTGTGAGCTCCAGAGGAGAACTGACTCTAGTCCACACCTTGATTTCATCCTGTAAGGTCTTGATCAGAGAACCCCGGTATGGGGTTCTGCCTTGACTTCTGACTCACTGAGATATTAAATGAGTATTGATTTATTCTGTTACATTTGGGGTATTTTTTTAATGCAGCAAAAGAAAAAACTTACATAAGAGAAAATTAACGCATTAGATTTGAGATGTGTTTCAGGGGCCAGTTAGGATGGTCTAAACCCCAAGAAATTGCCCTTTTTGTTAGGAACTCATCTGTTCTGTTCTCCTTCAAGTCAGCTCACACCATTCCTGAACTGACCTCACGTCTTTCCCTGGTCTTTCTGTGGCTTCCAATCTTACATGTCTTACTCCTGTGGGTACCATAATACATGGCCTTTCTCAGCTAGTGCCCAGACTCACACAACTAAACCGCCACACATGGCCAGTCTCCTTAAAGTATCTGTTAATTGAGGAAACTGGCTGATGCAGAGATTTTATTAATGACTCATGATGATTTCTATTTTTCTGTAACTATTGAACAGAGTGATCAAGAAACATGGTGTCTTAACACAGCATTTCCAAAAAGCTAACACAGTGTTTCAAAAAGAGCAGCAGCTTTCTAGGCAAATGCATTTGGAAAGTGCTGCACATTATGCCCTCCTCTGAAAACTCAAAGTACATCTCATATTAAATGGATTCTACTTACTAATTTTAATTCTATTTCTCAATATATTATAGAATGATGCACATAAAAACAATCTTCCTAAGGCAAAAAGAAAAAAAAAAGAATAGCATTACCTTAGATTAGGTAGAGGGAAGTGAAAGGAGGGGAAGGCAGGGGATGTGGGGATAAGAAAGGTAGTAGAATGAGACAGACATTATTACTTTATGTATATATGTGACTGTATGACCAATATGATTCTATAATATGTATACTCAGAAAAATGAGAAATTATATCCCATCTATGTATGATATATCAAAGTGTATAAGTGCATTCTACTGTCATGTATAACTAACTAAAACAAATAAAAAATTAATTTAAAAAACCTTCCAGTGTTTACAATTAGCAAGATGTGATAGCAAAAAAATCTTTTTAACAATCAGATCTCACTTAGGAGTAAGACTCTGCACTTCCCAGCTTGTAACTTGAATGCTATATGGCCTCTCCTAGCCTCATTTTCCTAATCAGTCTTTTTGCAATTTGAATAGACTCCATGGAGATCATGAAACATGGTAAAAACTTGGAAGAAACCACCTAGGTAGTTTGTGACATAGCTGAAACTGGGATTCTGATATCCTACTAACTACGCCAGTACCAGTACTCCTTTCACAGCTTCAAGGCATGTATGGAATGCATAGAGCAGGATGGTTAAGACAAGGACTACGAATCACATTATCATTTTGTTTCAGGAATTTATAGTGGGAAAGGCTTCCTGGAGAGAGCATTTGAGTTGGCCTTGAAGGATTCCTAGGTATTGGTTGAATAGAAACTGGGTGGTAGGTACTTATTCCAGGCAGAGTGGACAATTCTGTTCTGATATATTGGATGGTTATAAAATAAACCAACTCAGCTTCTCCTTGCATAAAATAGGTTACAAGATACTTCATTTTTTATCATGGTTTGTAAAATTTCTTTCAGCCTCTAAGAATGCAAATCAAATTGGAATGGTTTCCTTACATATTTTCTGACTTAAAAAGTATGAAACAGCTTAGTGTGTGTGTATGGGGTGATTCTATGCAAGTTTCCATCTGTAAATGGCACCAAAGTGTGCTAACCTGAGGAAAGATGGCTTAAAACTGAAAATACACAGGTCCAGGCCAAAGGATGGCAAGACATAAAACAGGCTTCCAGAAGCCCTCACTGCACCTGTGAAGCCCAAATCTTTGTCTTTACTGTTGGGACCGTGATGCATACTACCTTCAAAAAGGGATAGAGGAAGTGGTCTTCTTTGAAAGTAAATATAATACCATATGAAACTGTATCTAAAACTAAGCACTTCTACTATTTACTCCATTTTAATAAGTGGGTCCAATGTCCCTCTTAAATTTCCATATTTAAATATTTTCCACACATAAGGATGACATTTTATGTAACATTTATGATGCATTCTAAAAGACATCTGGGCCAAGCAATAAGAATCCTGTAGATACATCACATTTCCTGATTGTTTAAATTAAATATGCAGAGGAACAGTAGATTTCCATGCTCTGCACATCTGAGATAAGCGGCTGCTACCTGGTTCGCTTAGGGAGTTGTAAATCAATGAGAGATTCCAAGTATTCTATTTTCTAACAGACAAATTATCCCCCAACTTCCACCACTTTTGGAAGAAAGATAAGAGAACTGCTTGAAGGCAAAATTGTAACATGTAAGATTCCTATTTAAGTCATTTCTACCAACAAAGAAAAAAGTCTTCAATAATACTAATAAGTAATAATGAAAAAATTATCTGGGGATTTTTCCCTTGTCCTCAGTTGTAGTAACTCTTTTGTTCCAATCCACAGTTTATAGATGAGTGATACTGCTCCTTTATAGTGAATCAATTGGCAATAATCATTAGGTAATTCATCATGGTCAAATTTAAGGGGAACTAACTACTTCTAAAGACTGATATGACATTCGCTACCTTAAAAAGCAATATATATATATATATATATATATATATATATGTGTGTGTGTGTGTGTGTGTGTGTGTGTGTGTGTGTGTATTGGCTCACTAAAGTAATTTTTAATTCTGATGGTGATAAGAATTGTATTTATTTGGAAAATCATTTATACAACCTCTTCTGGTTTCATTGTTACATATAGGAAATAGTGTCATTAAAACAACCCATTCAAGTAAGAAAGGAATGGAACCTCTGGAGCCTAGAGATACAGAAATTTAGGAGAGGATTAGATAATTATTTTCCTTTCCTTAAGAGGAAAAAAAATTTCAAAAACATCCACTGAAATTTTTAAAAGTGTTAGTTCCATATTATTGATACTGATTTTAATTAATAAAATTCCAATTACTAGCTTACAAAAACCACATTAAATACAGTCTTTTTTTTTTTTTTTTTTTGGTTTAATGTCCAAGAACTATGTACCTAAAAACTGACGTGATTCCTAACTCACTGATTGATGTGTCTATATCCTCTTTGCAGGTGATCACCATTTTTCAACACTTCCTCTATCTTCATTTTTAAATTTAGTTGTTATTGGTGCACTGCAATTATACATAATAGTGTATTCATGATGCCGTAGTAATATGCTTGCAACATTTACTACAAAGGTCAAATCCTGAGGCTGGGGTTGTAGTTCAGTGCTAGAGTACTTGCCTAGCATGTGTGAGGCACTGGGTTTGATTCTCAGCACCACATAAAAATACATAAAAGAAATAGAGGAATTGTGTCCATCCATAACGAAGAAAGAAAGAAAGAAAGAGGAAAGGAAGGAAGGAAGGAAGAAAAGAAAGTCAAAAGTCAAGTCCTTCTAAGGGAAGAGGGCAGTATTTTATTTGTTAGATTCATTAACTGTATGATTTTCCTGGGAGTCAGACAGTCCCAGAGTTGAAGAACTTTGATCAATGAAGACATCCATTTACAGAACAGATCTACATGTAGGATATCTATTCTATTCTCAAAGATTTATTGAATGAATGGTTGTCCTAGTTCATCACACAAGTGGTTACTTCCCATATTTCTTCTTTTGAAGAAATCACTTCTCTGTTTTCATATTACTCCTTTGGCGACTGACTCAAAGACTAAATGGCTGGTGCTGGCCTGTTTATCACGAGTGCCTTTTCTTCCAAAATGAAGGCTTATGTTATGGGGAAGGTTCAGAGTGAAGGCAGGTAAATCAGAACACCTGGTTTGAAGTCCTGAAGTGATGTGGTATGTAGTTCAGGCTTTGATCCTGAAGACACAATGCTTAGCTCTGTACCCTGGCTCCCCATCTTATTAATCTTAATGACCTTGCACCAGAAGGTTGATCTCCTTGAGATTTTTTTATATCATTTCGAATTGTGATAGTAGTAATAATGCACAGAGTAATGATGGTTACATGATAAATGTGAAAGCAAATGAAACAGTACCTAAAATATAGTATCTTTCAAAAGTTATTAGTTTTCTCCTGACATAGAAAATGTTAACAAATTAGACTTGTCTAAGAAATGCAGTTCATTACAAAGAGATGGATATTCATGTATGAGGTCAAATTCCCACAGTAGCACTTCAAGCAATTAATGAAGTTATCCTCAGTAGGATCAAAAGGGCTAATAAAGCTTCTAAAATACAGTAGCCTACAAACCAGAGGACTACAGCTCAACAATGACTAACTAAATATTATTCTGCCACTTGCCTCCCATTATCAAGAGATACAGTGATGTTATCTTCTTTAAGGCATTTCAAAGTTGAATGTGAATTTGAGAAGTATTAGAAAAGGAATTGGAGAGTAAAGGATAGGACTGTGTTCATGAGATACTTTTCATTCCATGCACTACAAGAATTTACTTAATCAAGGAGCAACAGTATCAGAATGTAGCCATTTTATCATTTTGCTCTCAGATAAATATCTCATAATAGCAGATGTTGACCCCAATAACTGGGTGCCTTAAAAACAAAATCCTTTAAACCTGGAATTCTTTTGTTGATCTGTTAACAGACATTAAAGGTAATTTGGATCAGAGGCATCTTCATGTTCTACATTTTCATGACTGCTTCTGAATTTGATGCTTGGGTTTTCCATGATTGCTTGTATTTTCTTTTTGTTTTTATTTTTAAAAATTCCTACAATTTTTATTTTACTTAGAAATGTATTGTGTTAAGTATGACAAGACTGTTCAAGAAAAGAGGCTCTAAAAATATCTTACACAGGTTTCTGAATCTACCTGCCCTGTCCAAATTCCTTTAGCACAAAATGCTAATTGGTAATAATAAATGCAAATACTGCACAAACATGTCAGATAAGACAGCTATCAATTTTAAGGCACAAGCCTCTGGAATGCCATCCACTCTTCAGAAAAACTATTTGAGGAATTAGCAATATGCCTTTTGCATAAACAATGAACTGAAATGGGAATGAAAATAAGTGATAATGTTGTGGAGCTACTATTTTTTTAACAAAAAAATCTTAAAATTGAGTTGTTTGTATATGAGTGTTTTAAACCTTCTATCAGGCCTAAGTTAATTAATAAAATATATTAATTATATATATGATAAATATATATGTACATGTATAGTCAGTCTATAAGTGAAAAATCAAATATGTTTTCTTACATAAGCCAGATAACTGATAAACAGAGAACTATACCTCTATTTTACTTTCTCCCTCCATCCCTAAATAAGCATTCAGGATTGCTCTTATCTACTTTGTAAAAGCTCAAGTCCAAAGCTGGGAAGTTATTCAGTGATTTACATCAAATCCAGAACCATGGCAGAGATCAGAAGCCTTCTACAAATATTCCAAAGGAATTTACCTTTGACTTAAATTTTAACTCTACCCTTCAACAGTGAAATTACCCAGACAGGGTCTTCTATCTCTTTGTACTCCCATTTTCTTACCTTGTAGAATGAGACTAATTCCTGCTTGGTCCATCCTATACTGCTGTCTCTTGACTTAGGTATCCATAGGAATAAGGTCCCAGGACTCTCAGAGACACCAAAGTCTGAGGGTACTCAAGGCCTTCCTAAAATTATGTTGTGTTTGCATATACTCTTCATATATCCTCCTGTATACGTTAAATCATCTCTAGATTACTTGCAATACCCAAAACAATGTAAATGCTATGTCAATAGCTGTTACACTGTATTGCTTAGGGAATACTGACAGGGAAAAAGAGTCTGTACATGTTCAATACAAATGCAATATTTTCCTCAAAATATTCAGTCTGTGGTTGGTTGGATCTGGGAACGCAGACCTCATTGATATGGGGGCATACAGAAATGTGTTATGCTACTGATGAATGTAGGTTTAGTGGAAATGTGGATATAGGGAACCCTGAGCCTGGAGGACGTAAGACACTGTTAAAGGAAACAAAGATACCAGGCCCCAAAGATGAAATACATATGAGGCAAATAACATCTGGAAAATAAGCCAGAGACAGTTGAAAAATAGCCCAGGGTGACGGTGTCCTTCCTTATTATATGTGTCTCAACTGGACGATCTGCATTCAGCCTGTAATGCATCTCAGCTGGTATCACAAGCCTGCTATGACCTATGACACTGCTTGTGGTTTTGTGCATTAAAAAGCCCTGTTCTACTTCTTCCCCAAAGGTCCCTCCACAGAACTTCTGCCCTCTGATGAGTTGTACTTCCCTGCCCAGATGGAAGCTCTGCTCAATCCTCATCCTGAGAAAGTTTATTTTTCCTTATTGCTAATGAGGTTGTAAAAGAGTCTGTGCTTTTTTGAAGCTCTTTCAGAACCTGAGTAGCATGGCTGTGATAGGTATAGTGTATGATTCTTTCTGTGTCTTAGAAAGGGAGGCAAAGGACCTGTGGCTCAAGGACTCACCTCTAGGATGGATGTCTGCACTTGGAGTATCTGTTCATGGCCTTTGAGCTGCCGGATGCAGATTTTGCAGGACAGCTGGGTGGTGGTGGGCGTGTAGCGCTCCAGGGAGAAGGCACAGTGCAGGGGCTGTCGGTTACTGCACCACACGCGGGAGAATGGGACTTCCTATAGGGGAGATGGAGGAGAGAAAGGGGGTATGGTGTGTGGAGCACAGCTAAGATGCACAGAGAACAGGAGAGATTTAATAGCAATAACTATGATGACGATGACAATGATCACAGCGGAGATAATTGCCTAAGCGACTTCGGTAGAATTGTTGTAGAAATAATGTTCCAGCATATGCCAAGCAGCACAAAAGTAATTAATGTCAATTTCAACTGATAACATTTGAATTCCAAAACCACACTGCAAGAGCTTAGATTTCACTTGGTGACACAGACAATTAGAAAGAATACCATCTAAAGTTAATCAACATTTTTTTTTTTTACACTAAAAACTATTTCCCATTAGAAGCTCCTTTAGTCCATCTTTCTACCTAAGTCTGGGGTAGAATGCTGTTGCCTCATTTAAATGAAAATTATGCTGAGGAACTGACTGACCAGAACTTGTCCTCCATACCAGAAATTCATGCAGAATGCACAACACTACCAATATATTCAGCGTAAAAATGAATACCTACTGCAAAATTGTACACACTTAAACACATCCCAGAGAGACACAAACACACTGGGTCACCCCAGAGTGGTCTGGTTTGCCAGCTCCTTGTTTGTTAATTCATGTATTCCACAATTATGTATAAGGTTCCTGCTAGTGGGCAGATACTATGCTAGTTAAGCAATAAGCAATAACAACAAATTAGGTTTGGTCCCCACTCTCAAGGGACTTGTAGACATTTGAGAGGTAACAGTAATTTTTACTAAATCAGGAGGGAGATTATTTCTTTTTCCTAATATAGCCAGTACATGCCACCACATGCTAAGGCATGTTACTTTACAATATGTCCGCCATGTTTTTTTTCCTGTACTGAAAACTCTCTCCTTCCTGCACCAAATATGATGGAGAACCATGAATGCCCATGGCAATGACCATGTACGCCTAGTCTTTGGTAATCTTCATTCTCACTTTTTTTCTGTTTCTCATCTCATTAATTTGCTCATTTGTTGCTAAAAATATTTTCTGCACGACTAAAACTGAAAGGTGGCAAAAGATGTATCAAGTCTGAAGTGTGACTGGTGATGAAGCTGGCATGTGTTATAAGACCAAAGGCCATGATTAAAATTCAGTCTATCCACTTTCAGGAACTATGAGTTATCTCGTTACTTCTGAGTTCTAAGGTGTACACTTGTTTTATATCAACTTGCTTCCTAATTTTCTCCACAAAATGTCTCACAAGTCCTGGTTTTGGATATATCCAGAGGGAACCGGCAAGGAGAGATGGATTTTTGATTACTGTATTTAATGACACAATATTTAATAATGCACTAAGAGCCATCTGCAGGAAACAGGAGATAACAAAAAATCTAACCTCCACTGTTGCCACACATCTCAGCAATGAATGTAAGAATTTTGTGGGTTTTGTTTCATTTGTTCCTAACACTTAACCAAAGGGAAGGTAGTGAATTTCGTCTTAAAAAGTGAAGTCAAGAACTCAGAGAAGGACTACAGGTGTGCTATTTTATTTTATTTTTGTACCAGGGATTGAGAACAGGGGCATTTGTGTTCACTGAGCCACATTCCCAGTCCTTTTTCATTTTGAGACATGGTCTCACTAAGTTGCTTAGGGCCTCACTAAAAATTGCTAAGGCTGGCTTTGAACTTGCTATCCTCTGGCCTCAGGCTCCCAAACCACAAGGACTATAGACATGTGCCACTGTGCCTGGCAGGTGTGACATCTTATAGCATGTCCTTGACTTTATTCCCGTGTGAGACATGGGCTGGAGCTATGCAACCCTATTCTTACCATTTTTCAATTCTCTACCCAGCAGGGGATGGAAGTCTAAAAACTACATTTTATATATCCCCTTACTCTCAAGGACTTCACATTCTCCTGAGGCCCTCATACTGGATGTAGAAGGAAGATGGGGCACAAAAGCCTTCACCGCTCCCCTGACCTCAGCAGGCAGGGCTAAGGGCACCAGCAGGCAGCGTGCTGAGGCTTGCAGGGGCATGTGGACATTGCCTCCAGAATCATCTGGTTTAGTGCTCTTGTTTCCTCAAATTCTCCAACTTGTTGGTTTATTAATATCACTAGTGACTTTCTCTATCCTCAACTCCTTGGGCTCTTCAATGTTTGTTTTGCTTTAAGCATTTAAATCCCTTGATTAAATGTCTTAGTTGAAATATCTTGAATGCTTTCTAATTTCTTGACCAAAATGATTTTCTAATGAAGCTCCAGTGGATCTGAAGTTCTCTTAGAAGTGGGCAATACTGAAAAACACCCTACTGTGGGTTTACTTGGGGGAAATGCTGGGGAGCCTCTGAGCTAAGGGTCACTGAGGAAGCTTTCTGCTGCACCAGACCTTGCTTGCAGCACTGGCAAGATGGCACAGGTCCATTTGATGGCACCTCTTGCCCATATTCTCTCAATATAGAAAGTTTTATTTCTGATCTCTTCTCTTTCCCTGCTGGCAGTAGACAGGGCAACAGAGGGCACTTCTGGTCAGTGGGGCTTCCTGGTAATTTTTAGAGAAAGTCATTTTCCCTAAGACACTAAAAAATGACATTTCCCCTGGACCCACTATATAAGTACAAGTGATATCATTTCTCCTTGCCATCTAACCTGACTCTTTCCCTGCTTCTCCTCCTGAGTCTCTTTCCACTTTGTAACCCATGGCTAATCATGGCCAACTCCTACTTCACATCTCAGCCTCCTGTCTTCTCACTCCACCGAAATCCCATCTGCTCAGGGATGCCCAAGTGCCATCCTCTGAGGAGGGCTCTAATAACTACATCTCTGATATTTATCTCATTATCATCAATTCCTGGCATTAAAGGATAAGCACTCAAAATAATTTTATTTGGCCTTTACTTCTCTGGCAACTTTACCTTTTGAAAATTAATCATCACCATCTCTCTCCCACAGCCACTCTTCAGTTTTTCCTTTCTTCATTACACCTCATTAATAGCTAACTGCAGTAACCTACTCACCATTCTTCAGAAAGGGCTTGGTTGGCATTTTACAGGGGACAGCACTGTGGATGCTCTCTTACCTTTAATCATGGGTAGGAGACAATGATGAGACCACATCACCTAAGAACTCTGCTTTCATGCCATCATTTCTTTGTCTGGGGGGATTCCAATGGCCTCTGGATGCCTGATGTGTTAACCCTCATCTCCAGCCTGACCTCCTAGGGCCGCCTCATCTTTTGCCCTGTGTTTCCTCTCTCCATTCTCATTGTGGTTAGTTCTCAAATGGACTCTCTTCTCCAAACCAATAAATTCTTTTAGTTTTTTTTTTTTTTTTTTTGATATGGGGATTGAACCCAGGGGCCCTTAGCCACTGAGACACATTTCCAGCCCTTTTAAAATTTTATTTAGAAACAGGGTCTTGCTAAATTGCTTCTGGCCTCACTAAGTTGCTGCGGCTGGCTTAGAACTTGCAATTTTCCTGTCTCAGACTCAAAGCCCCTGGGGTTAGAGGTGTGCACCACAGCACCTGGCACCAATAAATTCTTGTAGAGTTACTTTGCATCATCCCTTTCAATGAAAGTAACTATAACACAGAGATCAGAGGTGATCAGGTGCTCTTACCTAACTGGGGACATTTTTATTTTCTAAAATTGAAAATTTAAATAATTAAATAATTATAGTATAACATAAGCCCTTGGACTTGAGGGCTAGAGAGAGATAAGCTCAAGGTCCAGCCCTTAAGCAAAGTTGCATTTTCTATAGTGGGTTTGAATCCTTGGTAATGCTTACTTTTCTTAAAAAGAAAAAGGTACTGGCCACTTACTTAAAGTATCTTCTCTGGTATTATTTGCTAAATTTCCTATATTTTCTCCTGAAAACACTGGAAGAAAGATAGGAGTATAATGTCCACTGTGGAAATAATATTTTCTTGCAGAAAAAACAGGAAAATCTGTACACACACACACACACACACACCCCTCTCTTTATTCTTTCCATGCCACTGTACACAATCAAAACATTTTTAAAATCTGATTTTAAGACAGTATTGAAGTAATATTTTTTTATTGTTGACTTGAGCAGCAGCTGTCAATAGTGCTCAACAAAACATTTAAAAATAATAGAGTTAGAAGCACTGTATTAGTGTATTTTCATGGCAATCATCTTCACTTTATTTATTTATTTTTAAAAGGCACCCAAGATACAAAAACAAAACCGCTAACATGTTCACTGAGCTGAGAGAAATTATATGTAATATAATATGGAGGACAAAGTATAGCAAAGTTATGGGTGTTTAAAGAATTCTGGAAATGTTTTCATTTTGATTCCTATTATAATTAGGTTCCCAGCAGATGGGGAGAATGTAAATCATATCCTAGCAGGAGACAGACACTGAGTTCTCCAAGATTCATAGCATGCTGAAAAGACAGCTGCTTTTATCCTAGGATATGATAACCAGACTTGATGTTTTGTTGGACTTAAAAAATAAATAAATAAATAATTGATTGCAAACTGTTTATTACAGCTTCCTCACCACATAGTCAGCAAGGAATAAAGCAAGCCATGATTAAGTAGCTCTCAGGTCCCTGTCAACTATTGAGAGCATAGATGTTTACCTCCTAGCAGAGGGTACTGATTCTGTGGGAGTAAGGAAAGGGGTAGGTGGGCAATAGCATATCTCTCATTGTGGCAGAGTCCCAAAGTCCGAGGGGAATATGGGGGCTAATAAATTATTTGGGGGGACTAGCACCGTGGGCCTGTTTTTCTCTGATTAAAGGTCAGTATGTACTACTGCCCAGGTCTCTGAAGAACTCACGGGGGCCTTCCTTTCCCTTTACCCACAATATCCGGCTTCATAAGCAAGAGGTTGTGGCATGAAATTCCATAATTTGTATCCTCCAGAACCTAAGCCAACAAGATTTTCATTTACATTACCTTTTGACAGATAGACCCTCATAACATAGCTCGAAACACAGTCTGAACCTACATTATTCTAAAAATCATTTGTCAGCCAGTTTGCTGGTTTCTAATAGACAAACCTGCTCTGCATTGGGTGTTTCCCAGGTCTGTGCTTTCCCAGAAAAAACCAGGAAAGTATCTTGGAAGAGAGGGGTTTGGATATCAATTGCTGTATGTCAATTCCTAGATTCATGATTCAAAGTTAGAGAAATGGAAAGAAGACCAGAATGGTACCAGAGTTTTTCTATGCATTCAGTTGGATGAATGGCAGGAATATTTACCTGTTGATGGACAGACCTATAAATAAATGTCAGAAAAAGTGTGATTTTCTATCATCATAGTCTCTCTCTGGGATCCCGAGAACACAGTTCTGAATTTGCAATTTGCAAGTTCAAATATATAATCAAAATTGCAAGTTCAGATATATAATGATAGTTCCTGACCACTATGTCCTAATGAAAATCCACTCTGTTATCCATGCCAGTTTTGTCAGCATGCATGATGTTCTACAAGAGGCTCCAGCAGCTGAACACAAGCCCTGCTCCCAAAGTGCTGACATCTATGCCCGGGGCAAACATAGTTTGACCATTAAGCCAAGTGCAATATACATGCCCATAAGCTGAGGGATTTCAGTGATGACATGAAAGGAAATCAGTGGGTTAGGTGCTGATGAGAAAGGAGGGCCAGAGCAGAAAGCCATTTGGGGTAAGAAAAATGAAGTGAAAATGAAACCTCAGAGGTAGTTCTCCTGATGCAGAGAAAATCAAATTGTTTCTCAGCCTTCCAAGATTCTTTCAAATTATGCTCAATTACAAAAAGCAAATATTTGTACATGTTCACAGCCTCCATGCAAGCAAACCCATCCCAGCAGCAAAGCCTGCTGTGTTTCCTGGAGAACCAATGCCCCTTGGCTTTGTCTGGACTCTGCTACATCCTCTGAGGTCAGAAGCCACCTCATTCCCTAAGTCTCTTCTGCCTGGGGCTCTCTTTTGGTGTTCCTTGTGCTGGAATTATTGTTTAAGAGCTGCTGCAAGGTAATGGTTCTTTCATCTGATTTTTTATCTTCAAGCATTAAATTTAATAGTTACTTTGGACTGAGTCACTCGTATTAGATCCAGTGAAATGAGGCCCTCATAACCTATAAAGATTAATATGGAGGAATCTGCATGACTGTGAGGACTTGTCTTAACAATACTCTGAAGTTCAATTTAGACTAGAAACCTTGAACACTGCTTACTGGAAATCGAAGACACCCCAGTCTGACATGTCATAAAGAAGACAATTATCCATAGAAAACCTGTCTATGTAGGAAATCTGCTGAATGTGCCAACTCCCCTGTGATCCCCCTAAATTGTTTACAGCCATGAGAGATGTTGATTTTACTTTGGATACAATAAATCTGTACGGGGAGGGAGCAGTTCCCAAGGAATGGGAAGCTCAAGAAGTTAATAGAAAAACACAGCTTTGTCGTATCTGAAATTTCTAAATTTCAGAAGTCAGACGGGTTGGAGGTTGGTTCAACTTTTTTCTAACCAGTGTAGTGCAGTTCTCTGGGTGAGTTGGCTTGACTCATTCTCCTAAGCTGTATGCATGTATCATGTTTTAAACAATGAATATTGCAAGGGTGGAAAAGTTCAAACAAACCCCCACAGAGGTCTACACATCATGTGAAGCCACCAGAAGCTTTTCCAGGTCTGGAAAGGTCCTGTCCCTTGAAGCACAGATGGCTCTGGTTTAAACTGTGATGAACTAGGCAGCTGTTTCCAATGGCAATACTATCCCTGGGAACTTTCTTAGATTACTGTGGCAGGATCATGAGTTGTTGAGAGATGCTTTCATGCTAAGCCTGGGATTCAATCTCCCTACAAATGATTCAGGGAGACTGAGTCATCCCATGATGTTAAAAGAAAATAAAACAACCCACTATTAAGAGACATGGGCACTGATATATAAATTAAAAGGACTCTACAGAGGTATTATCCTGCCTTTGGTTTTCCACTTGGAATTTGTTATTATCTTAAACCAATTCACTGGACAGTGAGCACCTGTCTGCAACAGCATCTCTTGTTCTCAGGTGCCACAGCTCTGTTACTCATCATGATCATCCTGAAAATGCCTGCCACTGACATGTACTTTATTCATTGCTAAATATGATTAAAGCAAGGTTTGATTATGATTGATTTTCATAAAAACAAGCCAACACAAAACCTCGCTTTTAAGTTGTTAAATTGCCACCTCTGACCTAATACTGGGCACAATTCAAACAGGAGAGGAGAAATGTCACATTACCTGACAAGTATGTACCTCTTTTCCCACCTGTTAGAAACTTGTGAATTTATGACAATGTGTTTCATTCCTTGTGTGTAGCACAAACTGCTACATCTCTGTGACAGTCATGAGATGAAATCTATACTTTAAAGGAGGAGGAACAGTAAGAAGACCATCACCAGGGTTTGAGACACCCTTGCTAGTTACAGCAAAGCTGTTTCTGTGAGCAGCCCATTTGGTCGATACCTGGCATGCAGTGAATGGTTTAATTCTCCAGAGGAATGGAGGGATGTCAAGGACAGAGATCTGAAGACTGAAGGTATTCCCTTTGAAGTGCAGCAACTTTGGTTCTTCCAGTAGCTGTCCACCTTGATGCCTTTCATCTGAAACCACTTCCTATAGGAAAGGAAAAAGGAAAGAGAAACGACAATGAAGCATCTGACTTTTTATGCACTTTCTTCTATGGGAGTGGTTGCTCACTATCATGTGTTTCCCAGGGTTGAACACACAGTGTCATCAACACTTCTTTTATATCTCCACGCCCAACCAAGTTCAAGGTAAAGGACTAAAAGCTATGGAGCACAAAGGATTTGGTCAGCGATAGACAATTATTCTTTGTCACCTGTGATGCACAGGCTTTTAAACACCCTGTGCTTTTGGTTAAAATGGAAAGACAACCCCTGGGCCCCAAGCAAATTGGAATCCTGTTGTGTCTCCAGGACTGTATGAATTTCACTTTGATATGACCGTAAACAAGATGTATTTGCACTTATGCTGCGATATTATCATATGTCTCAATAAACGTAGACATAGCCCTCTCTGCTCTGGTTCAATTATTCTCCATTCACATAGGTATTATCTGGTATTTATTTATTTATGGCTCAAAATAAATGTTCCAGGGTGCACATTTATTTGTGGTAACATTCGTAAAAGTTATTATACCGAAAGGCCAGGAAAAAAATAAGTTATTTATCAAGTTACTGTTAGTTCAGAAAAAGGAAATTAAGTTTCTGAGGTAAATACTTTCACTGAGAAATCTTTATAATTATACCGAATATAAACACAACCCACATATATTCTATTGAGCAAACATTTAATTGGCTCTGAATTTGTTTTGGTTAGAATTGTATTGGAGAGGTGACCGGACAAATGAAATCATAAGACAAATATGTATTCTGGAAAATATTAAAACCACCATGGAGGTAACGCTTTCAATGTACCTGGAGATAAGCAATTTCCCTAAAAACAATTTTTTTAAAATCACCATTAATTAACTTACAATTTCCTTACAGAGCTAGGAGAAATATAAAAATGGAAATCCTTTATTCCCTGTAAATCTTCCCAGATTCTACAGAAGGTTGTAAAAGCAAGGCAAATAAATTTATATATATAGTGAAATGTACAGTTCAATAATTAATGAATAAAAACAGATTTAGAGGGTATCTATCTCTTGTCTATATACATTATGGCATTAGTAAAATCATTTTTAATTTTTATTTTTCATAGGTACACAAACGGTTACTAGGTTGCTAGTGTATTTTTTCAGGATGAAATGATTGAGTTCCAATGTCATTTTCTCTAGCTCCATGGTTTTGCTAGAGGAAAGATTGTATCTTTGGACCCTGAGGCCCGCACTGAATTCTCTCTGATGACGACACTCTTCTCTATCTACACTGTCTAATATGGAAACCACCAGTCACTGTGGCTATTAAAGCACTTAAAATGTGGCTAGGGTGGCTATGGCACTAAATTTTTAATTTTAATTCCTTTAAATATGGACATGTGGTTAGCAATTACAATACTGGACAGATAATTTGTAACATTGTGGATTGCAGATTTGGGCACAGAAACATGGCGGCCAAAGACTAACAGGGGCTGTAAAGAGTGGAGGGAAAGAGGTAGGATAAGGCAGAGATGGAATTAATTCTAAACGTCTACTTGGATGAGATATTAGGTCTTTTACGGATATGGGTCACTGATTCCTTCTCTTGAGATTTAATAAGTGTCCAATAGAGTTATGCTTGGGCTGGGCACTGGCTGTACAGAAAAGAAATAATCTCTACCACCAAGGAGTCATAGTCTGGTGAGGCTGGAGCAGTCGGCCTATGATTATAGCACAGTATCTAAGCATGAAAACACATGTACACCCTGAAGGTTAAGACAGACAGAGGGTGCCTCACCCAGATGAGAGGAGAAGACAAAAAGGGGAGAGAGGTGGTGACAATAACAGAGCAAGGGATATCGGAGCCGGAATAGGAATTGGCAGCTTGGAATGGAGGGAGCAGGCCCTGCAGACAGTGAGCACAGTGTGTACATAGGCTCTGTAGGTAGACTGAACTGAGACAGAAGGTTAGGGTGACAAAGTGTGTGGCTGGAGATGATGAAAATGTAGGGCAGGGGTCAAATCGTGAATTTTTGTTGTCATCCTTAGGACTTTGTGCTCTATTTTAGAGTCCTGTTGCTGGGATTTCAAGGTACATAAGAATACTCAAAAGACTAATCTTACAAGTGAGAGGTGGATGTTTTCTTTAGGCCTCCTTTGCCTACCTGAGTTTATTACTCACCAAGCAAAATAATTAGAATAATAATATATTAACCTTCTTCTTCTTTTTTTTGAGATTCTGGTGCAAGGTTAGAAACAGATATAAATAAGCTGCATGCTTTTTAAAACCATTATTAAAGCCACAGTATGAGAACAAGGTTGCCCTTTCTGAAGTGCATTTGAACGATGCTCTCTGAAGTATATCCATTTTCTTTCCTTCTAACTCACCTAAACGAAATCATCAGGAGATTTAGGAAGTAGTTCAAGATCATGTGTTACTTAGTGTAGGGCTGGGTTAATTTAATATTTAGAAACTACACAGGATTACCATATTAGAAAGGAACTTAATGAAGACTTAGATCACTAAGTACTTATTTATAGATGAAAAAGTGGGAGCCTCCCCAAGAAAGCTACTTTCCTAAAGTAACATGGTTAATGACAGAGCAAGAACTGTAACTGAGTGACTTGATCACAGTCTAGTCTTCTACTATGCTTCTATTTTCTTAAAGAGCCATGGAAAAGTCAGATTGCTATTACTTCTATCCCATAAATAATTTTTCATTGGTATAAGATATAATGTGTAAAATGACATGTCAGTCATATTTGCCATAGAGTTATATATACTATCTGAACAGTCCTTGAAATGCAGAGTAAATACTATTAGGAATTTGAAAAATAGAAGATCCACTTAATAAATATCACAGAGGAAAAGAGAACCTTTTTAAAAAGTTCTGCATTAGGGTCCCTAGTTTAAACATAACATAATTTATTTTTGTTATTTTAGATTACAGTAGTTTAATTTGCACATATTGAACCAACTATATATAATTAACAGCATTTTGTAATCTTGCATAAAATATTAAGCAATTACAGTAATTCTGTAACAAAATAATAGTTAAAGCAAAAAAGCACAATAATGAACTAATCACTACGTATATATTTGTAAAAGCACAATTGGCTTCAGAGTTAAAGCAATAACCTTCTTAGTATAAACTTTAAAAGAATATATTGTTTCAGGCTCAGTGGCCCATGCCTATAATCCCAGTGACTCAACTGAAACAGGAAGATCACAAGTTCAATCAACTTAGCAAGACCCTCAGCAATTTATCAAGACCCAGTCTCAAAATAAAGAATAAAAAGGGCTGGGGATGTAGCTAAGTGGTAATGCACCTCTGGGTTCAATCTCAACTTTCAATAAATTAAAAAAACAAAACAAAAAATAGATTGTCCTTAACAGCAATTTTTCTGTCATGCCTTTAGTTTATGTGCTACTACTGGAAGGCTGGACCCAGGCTTCTATATTTCTAAATGGTTCCCTGATGACTCCGATGCCTGGCTTGGGACTCAGTGATACAAATAACTCTACTGAATTAGCTCTGAATTACTCATGTGGATGTATCTCTCACATCAAGACTGAGGCCTGATAGTCACATGATTTTTCCTATCTGCCTCGCATGTACCGAGAGCCTTCCTGTTAAATCTCTGGATCTATTGTTTAATTGATATTGGAGTTAATGAGACTAGAAAACAGGGTCAGGCTGGTGTCTTGTACAAAAGGTTCTGGATAGTGGTTCTTCTAGGCGTTCTGCTTCTTCATTTTGCATTGGGGGTTGCAAGCCATCCAGCTCTTGAAGCTGTGGCCAGGAGAAACCTGTGCTTTGTGCCTCACTGAGCTCTGTGCATTGATTTAATGAGACAGGCAGCAATATTCAGGTGTGCTTCAGGGATACTAAAACAGGCAGGCTGAATTTACATATTTATGAGACAAAACTGTTTGAACTTAAACACACACAGCACACACACTCAAGCACACACATACATGCACACATAAATTGTGTTGCTGTGGTGTTTTCCTTTAAATGCTTTACGTGAACAATATTTCCCAAGGTTGCATTATTGATAAACACAGAACTACATCTGGAGGAAATCCTTTGAAATTAGATTCTAAATCCACATTAATGCCAAGTAAGTAATGAGTACCGAGAGGTACTAAATAGGAGTGCTGGGAGCGATGGAGGGAAAAAAAAAATGCTAGTTGTTTTTCCCTTTCTTTTTCTAAGATTAGATAGGGCAAATGCTTAATTCCTTGCTTTCCCTACGTCAAGGTTTGTTTGAGCTGCATGTGTACGTCAGGGTGTAATAAAACATAACAACAACAACAACAAAAAAAACAGTTCTTAGAATGCTACTGCTTCAGAAATATATCACGAATCCGCAACCTCTGATTTGAATTTGTCAAAGGAGTCAATGTCAGACCCACAAACACAACATGGCTGCTCTATCACAGAATTAAAAACAGGAGGACAAGAGGTCCTTGGGCCTTCCTCTTCTTACGGTTCTCTGCCTTTGGCAGGTGGCATTTTTGTTTTTTAGTAGCATTATCTGAGTTGATTTAATTTTCCACAGAGACGGTTTTAGATGTCTTTATCTAAACACATCTCCAAAAACTTGAACCGACATTAATTATGTCCCAGCCAGGTAGATGAGGTATTTTGTTTTTGTCATTCAAAGACCCTGCTACTATAATTCAGACAGGCTATTCCAGAACAAATGAGCAGCAAGCAGCATATCTCTGCAGGAGGTACAGGGGAAGGAGCACAAACTGAAAACAGAGAACATTTCTATTTAGCCACCAAATTTTCTAATGAAATATTTCCTGGGTCTGTTGTATTGCCTTTCCCCTAGCCACTTCTGAGAGGACAGAGAGGTCTGGGAGTTTTTCTTCTTTAAGGTCTCCAGAGAAAGGGTAAGCATTTAAGTTTTGTATAAAACATAATTCCCTAGTGAGATATAAATGAAATAAAATATATACTCATGCCCTTCCTTCCTTGGTTAAGAGAAAAGCTCTAGTTGGGTACACATACCACAGATGTCACAATCATGCTTGTGTTTTTTCCTAATTATGGTAAAAATTTCATTGTAGTGATAGTTGAAGCAAGTTCCAAGATGGGCAATTTCTGCAGACATTGTCCATGAAAAGCTGCATACTAATTTTGGTAAAGAAGGGTTCTATGGGGTTATAGAAAATGTGCCAACACTGTATACCATATTTTCAACTCTTACCACTCAAGTTGGGGGAGACAATATTAACTGTAAAGTCTTTTGGAGGTTAAAAAGTGAATAGTTGCTGAGGCCTACTTAAAGCGGAAATGTTTTAATAGGTTAGTAACCATATAATTTCACCCCCTAATATACACCACATATAAAGTCATAAACATATGACATGGATAATTTTAGATATTATGGAATATTAAGATATTAAGGAATATTAAGGAATCTATGCTGAAGGCTCTGATTAATTCACATAGATAAAAGTCCAGTGGAGTGAAGATATTTGGCTTCAACCAGAGGGAGAATAACATTTTCCTTGGCACTAATAAAAAAGGTAAATTACCAACAGGAATGGCAATGGTGGTTTGGAAAGGTTTGTTCTGAGTTTTTTTTCATGACTTCTTCTGTAGTACATATTGGTCTGTGAACAGTTGCGTTGTTGTAGAATCTGCTAGTGTCAATAGGAATGAAAACAGATCAAGATCATCGGAAAGTCACTGAGGATATCCCCTTTAAGCAAATGTCTATCTTGCTGGTATATACCTTGTCAGTGACATCTTCGCTCAACAGATAGTCCAAGCTGGTGACAGGAGGACAGCCAAGGCAGTTGTGTGAACAGCTCCTCACGGTCACATCAGTCAGCAGTGGCTTATCTATGTAAGTCAGGAGATTGGAAGTCCTCCATGATCTTCCATGGCTTCTCCAATTTACTAAGCATTTGAGATCTCTTTGAGTTACCCACATCCAACTAGAGCCATTGGTACAACTGTACCCAAAAATTCGGTGGAAGTAGTGACCCTGAGGTGAACCTTTTTATTTAGATGTTTATTCTTTATTTTTGCTTCTTTGAAGGCCTATTGTATACTTCCTCTTGAAAAGAGTAACTCTCTTTTTGTTGAGTGGGGGAAGCAGACAAAGAGTATATACAAAGTGACACAATGACAAGATGAGGTATGATATACTGAGATGTCCCATCTTTGAAAGAAGCACCTTTTGTGAGCAGCCAAAGATGAAGTACTCCCTTCTTAATGGCCTGTGCTGCCTACAAGATGGTCAGGGAAGGTTTGGAAATGCAGGCTGACACTGTCACCTTTACTGGTGTGTGTACAGGGTTCAGGTTGCTGTATCTATTCTATTGGTAAACATGAGTTTTCCAACTCAGTGTCTTAAAATCTAGTTACTGAGGAAGTACTCTGCATAACGGACTTAATGATGCAACACTGGAATAGCAGGGATATGGAATGAGGTGTGTCAGGAGAGCTAGGCTATTTATGTATCAGCAAAACTTACAGGCAATTCTGCATTATCCTTGATGCTATTAGTAAGCTTGCCCTCTTCATAAGTGACTAATTTAAGATGAATCTTACATGATTAAAAGTATCCAAAATGGAAAGGAACCTTGAACCATCTCTGCCCTAGTAGCCCTGATAATTAATAAGACTATGTGTCCAGGATATAATATGACTGTCTGGTGAGAGGTATGATTTATAATTGTTGTTCCTTAACCACATAACCTTTAGTTGATCCCAGCCATTTTCTCACTGCCCTCTGCTCAATGAATGTACTATGTCTCATGCCACCTCACTTTCTCATATGCTGTCCCTTTGTCTTTCGCTCCTAAATATCATTCATCCATGAAGGTTTGCAAAAGGTTCTCAAAAACTCTTCTCCAACTCTTCTTCACATTTGCATCTCTGTTTTCTGAATTATAACTACACTTCTAATGCATTTTATCATTTGGCACGCAATGTTGTCTACCTGTGTTAATTCAACCCTGCTCTCTTCTTCAGTGCCAGGGAAATCATCCCCTCTTGCATTCTTAGACACATAGTAACTTGGCTCTTCCATCAAGATGGGTGTGCCAGTAAATACCAGTGATGCAGGTTCATTTTCCAAACCATCAACAACAAAATCCTCTGTCAATACTGACCTTCAGGAAAGCTTATATGTTTATGACATCAACAGATCAATTATAGAAAAAATACTGACCTGAAATGCACAAGGGGTATTGTCCACACAATAAACTCTTAAGTTGTAATCCAGGGAGTTACAGGACATGCAGCCAAAGACCGCCACCTTGAGCTGCTTCACGGCACAATCTGTGATCGGCTCTCCTGTGAGGGCGTAGGTCCCAAAGCTATCAAGGAGCACATGGCATGCAAAGGGGTCTAAAAGGCAGTAACAGGATGTGGATTCATCCTCCACGGACATTACTTCCTGTTGGGGGAAAGATGTGATATGTTCTTTCAGCTTGGAAATAAGACAGGATTTTAAATGTCACAAGTCCATAAACAAATAAATTACAAAAAAAATTTTTTTCATAATATTTTTATTGTCTTAATTATCTTGATGTTAAGCATTTCTCTTCTATTAAAATAACTGTTTACATCAAGAACTCATGAAATAGTTACGTTTATCATGTTGTAATTCTACTTTAATAGGTTATAATAACAAAAATCACTCTGAAAGTCCCATTTCTGGTTAATTGTTCAATCTCGGGTTTAGTAGAATGTTGAACATTAACCTCGATAAGCAAACTTATTTATTTATCTTAAAAAGATTTATTTCTGAAAACCGCTTTAAATATCCTTAAGGCAATGTTTATTTTCTCTCAAACATTTTATCCTCTTTCATTCCACCAAAATCATTCACAAGGGACCATTAAATAAATGATTTGGATAAGATGTACTAGAATACTTCATCCTCTCTGATAAGAACTTAGGTATGTGTGACTAGTGTAGTAGAGCATAAATATAACACCATCTGGATGTAAGAGATTGTAAGGAAGTACTGAGAGGAAAAACTAAATGGTGAAAATACAGGCAAAGCAAAACATAAAGGGAAGAAGGAGACCCAAACATGTCCCCTCTATGAATTGCAGGCCCCAGGAAATTCGCCTTGTACTACTAGGGCTGAATAAACAGCAGAATGCATTCTGAAACAAAGAAAATAGACTAGTTTCAAGACATAGTTGGGCAGAGTAAATGTAATCTATTGCAACAACTGGGAATTTTCTTCTCCTAAAGAAACACCATTTTCCTTTTACTTTCTTTGCCTGAAGCAGCTCCCGGGAGGCAAGATCCCAGGGCTAGCTGATACAGGTCATTGTGCTCCAACAAGATAATTCACCTGCTTTCATGCAAACTGACTTCAGATGGACATAAAGGAGTCCCTATCAGACAGATAAATCAGAGCTTTCACTTAAAATAGTAATTCAACAGTAATCTTTCTTTGCTGTGACTGTCTCCCTAGTTGTTAGCCTCCTATTTTGGATCCTCATTCTCTCTTCTTGTCTCTCTGTTGGTTCTCTATGTGTACTTTATCCCTCTACATGTACTCACATACACAGGGAAAGAGACACTGATAATAATCCTCTATGCATTCATTAATTCACCAAACACATATTAAGCATCTACTTTGTTCCTGGATACTTAAATCTAGTTATGTTAAAATCCCCAGGATAAAAAAAAAAAAAAAAGAGCAACTGATACAATAGTTTCTTTTATGAGCACAGATTGCCTGCCCTGAGGTTCCTCCTTAACTGCACAGAGTAATGTCAATTTAGACAGGGACATGGCCTGGGAAGAAGGAATGGGGGCCAATGTATAGGTACATAAGTGTACCTGTCTGTGTAGGTAATTACAATTGAATTCTAAAACAAAACAAAATGCTCTGGATTATCTTTTCTCCTTTTTTTTTTTATTTTTGCAGAAAAATTAAAAAAAAAAAAACCAAGAATTAGCCAATACCTGAGGCTTCTATGAAACTCATGCCACAACCCCTTGGCAACAAGAAAATGCTTGAAAATTGTACAACTGACTCATTGTGGTAAGAGACTTTAGAGTGAAATCTATCCCATCTATAGAGCTAAAATCCCATTTTTTGCAAAAGGATGGATAGCGTCTCACCTCCCATTTGCCCTGCTGTGTTCTCTTCTTCAAATGGATGTTCCAGTGCTCCGAACTGACGTCCGCACAGTGTGGAATGGTAAGCGCAAAGGGGGTGGTGACTATTATATCTGGAGGACCACAGGTGACTTCAGGACTCAGGAGCACCTCAGACCCATCTGACTGCAGGCTTCATAGTTGGGAAAAGGACAAAAGAGAGAAGCATGTTAAGAATGAGAGCTTTCTTCCTTTTTGAGAGAGTATCTTGCTAAATCCCTTAGACTGGCCTTGAACTTGCACTCTTTTTGCCTCAGCCTCCTGAGTAGCTGAGTAGCTACCAAACCTGGCCAGAAGCAAGAATTTTCAATGAGAATTTAGTTCCAAACTGGGGTACTATACATGCCAAGCAAATCCCTCTCCAGATCTCACTCTGGATAGCACCTCATTTACTAAGTTGTCTCACCCAAGAATAAGTGTGAGTTGTACCATTAGGGCACACAGGCTGACTTTAAGCCTAGGTTCCAAATCTAGGTTTTGATCAACTAATTGAGAAAATGACCAATGCTTCTTCGAGAATATAGGGTGGAGCTGGTGAACTCAATGATTTGGCTGGTGAGTCAAACATTAGCTGCTGAATCCTTACTCTTGTTGATAACATTATCAATAACAAACTATAGATGTGACTGATTGGTGATCTTTTCCCAACAACACACTCAGCAATGCTTTTTAATGCAAGTAAATAAGAAAACAAATTATTATGGAACCAAACAGTATTTCAAACATACACAGATTGAGTATGTTTATTCTGGTTTTGAAAACATTTATTTTCTGCCAATGCACACATACATAGGTTATATAGTGATAGCACAGGAGACAGTAATAAACGTGCATAATCAAACACATAATTCTATATTTTCAACACTTTCCTATTTCAGATTTAAATTTTAAATAATTCCACCCAAACCTGGTACTCTGATTTTTCGGTATTGTGAATTATTTACAATGAAATGCAGTCCTGAAACAGATAAAAGAAAGTGAAATTTAACTAAAGGAATAATAGTACCTCATCGAATGCCTCCCTTTTTATTTTCTTGTTTGTTTTTTTTTTTCTTTTTTGTCCATTTTTTGCAGAGCTGGGGATGGAACCCAGGGTCTCATTCAGGCCAGGAAACTGCTCTACCACTGAGCTACCCCAGCCCTTGGCTTTTATTTTCAGTCTCTGCCTATAAACACTAAAAAGAGGTAGTTTATAGGACAGCAAGAGTGAAAACTCAGATGTCTACTTAATTTTCATCTAACCGCACATGTGTTCTTAAACAAGCTGTTTGATCTTTTTTGTTTTTGTTTGCAGGATTTTCTCTTGTAGGAAATATAATTATATTGAATATAGTCAATAAAAATAATTTAGGGTTCACAGATGAGCAATACTATCGGAGACCTAGGATTGATATTATTATCAAAGCTTTCACCCTTGCCATCTAGAAAGGGCATTTAAATATGTCATCTCTGATAAAAAAGAACAGTCTCTAGGGTAACATAAAGATGAAATTTAGCTCTAAATGATAATACCTGTTTTGAGATCTTGTATAAACAAACAGTTTTCTATGAGTGCATCTAACATGTTATTAATTTCTGAATTGCTTTTGTTGACATCTCTTGTTCTCTCTCAAGTCAGTCATGGTCACACTTGAGCTCACTATGTATAATTTGATGCTGCAATAAAGCCAGGGCATATAACTGAGCAGGAGCATCTTATATCTGCTGTATCCAAGACAGACGTGAGCATTATTACATGGCCCCCTCCCACCCCCAAGAACCAGTGGAGATGCCATCAAAAAGTTTAATCTTCCATAAAGTCCAAAGATGACCTTTCTTCCTCTATAAAGTGAACCATAAGCTAAGCTGGAAACATGTTTGAATTTGCCTTTAAGCAGGGAGGGGATTGGAAAGCAGGGTATTAGCATAGCCAATCCTCTCTGAAAAGCTTAAAACAATATACTCAAGGTTTGAAAAAAAATTGTAAAATTCAGATGTGCTCTGTAACCAGCACAAAGTGGCAGCCTGTGTGTGGACACTTGCCAGTGGCCATTAGAGAGGGTTAAGCGCTTTCCGTGTAATTGCTGCTTGCATTCAGCATGGACAGGAATAGCAGAGATACTTACGAATGACCGATGACAAGCTCTCCTAAAAGAACTATTTAATTGCTTTTAGAGAATCATCCCCCTTGTTGAGCATATTGTTCAAACATATGGGAATTTGGGGAATTATTTAATGCCAAATGAACTGAAATCAGTTAATTAGATGAACCCTCACACTCAATGAATAGCAAGACTCCTTGCAGTAATAGGCAGCATTAGGAGTCGGAGGCCCTGTGTGTTGAATATTGGGAGGAGCGTGAAGTAGAAGTTTTGCATTAAGCAGGCACTGGACATTTCCATAAGTGCAAAGTAAGTAAATCAGGATTTATATTTAATCCTTCTATCCCCAAAATAGTGTCTGTGCTGTAGGCTTCTCTCTGGTGAAGGAACAAAATTTAATCTCTCCCCCTTTTTTCCCATGATTAATAATAATTTGCCCTTTTCTGCCACCCTCTATCTGTGGCAATCAGGGAGATTTACAAATATTAATTAAAGCCCTTCACACACCTGTGGAGGCAGGTGTTAGCAGCATAAGGTCACAGAGAAATCAATCAAAGGGAGGGTAGGAATAGAGCCCTAAATTTCTGACTCACAGGCTCCCCTCTGTGACCAGATTGTACTTTTCTTCTCTTTTACTATTAGGAGATGTTCTGGTCAAATTGTTGGCCCCTGTGCTATCCCAAGGAAAGAAGTGGGGAGGGGATTAGATGAAGTGTGGTCACAGATGGAGGACATTTGAGAACAGAGGGCTGGAAGTTGAGAAGGCTTTAATCGGGTGCGGACAAAAATGAAGTTTTGCAAGGAAAGCATATATGGCATTTTAGGTTTTCTTTCTTTTTTGATACTAGAGATTGAACTCAGAGGTGCTTAAGCACTGAGCCACATTCCCAGTCCTTTTTAAAATTTTTGAGAAAAGGTCTTGATAAATTGCTTAGGGCCTCACTAAATTGGTGAGGCTAGTCTCAAACTTGTGTTACTCCTGCCTCAGCCTCTCAAGTTGCTGGGATTACACACGTGCACCACCACAACTGGCTAAATTTTCTCATGTTATATAATATGGGACAAAGCAGTATCCTTGTTCCTGATGGGAGAAAAAAAAAGGTGACATGTTTTCCTAAAATAGTTGTGAGCTAATAGATACTATGAATCAATAACAACAGTGATATTAAGACCATAACATTAACACCTATATAGATCACATACCCTAGACTGGTCTACAGGTTGAAAAGCCTTGCTGCATGTGACTTTGTTAACTTTTTCTTTGTTATTTGTATCAATTCTTATGACAGGGATATATGCATATACCCATAGTTTGAATCCTACGTGTGCATAGAAAAAGATAATTTCAGAGCCAGGTCACTTCTATAGGAAATCTGTTCTCTGCGGTGGCTAATTAATTCAATAAATTCTCATTATATCAATATATATTTGAATAAAAACTCAAGACCTTTGTAATGTGCATTATAGGCAGTTAAGGTAGATGGCAATGATACTGCTCTGCCTGCTTTTTCCTTGCCTCCCAGAGTCTGTCTTCAACTAAGCCATTCTGCTAAAAATGCCAGTGTGTTCTTGCCTCAAGAAATGGCCTCTGTTCCCCCTGCTCCAGAGTGCAGGTGCTGCCTGGAACACTTTGACATCCACATGATGAGGGGCCCTGTGTCCTTTAGGTCTTTGTGCAAATGACACTTACTAATGAGTTTTCCTGCCTATGCCCTAGTAATTTCAGCAAACTTGCTTTTTGCTTTTCTTTTCTCTACAACATTTACTTCTTAAATCTATACCATTTGCTTACTATTCTTTAAATATTTATTTTTTTAGTTGTAGTTGTACACAATACCTTTATTTTGTTTATTTATTTTTATGTGGTGCTGAGGATCGAACCCAGGGCCTCGCACGTGCTAGGCGAGCGCTCTACCACTGAGCCACAACCTCAGCCCCTGCTTATTATTTTTTGACTTCCACAAACTAGAATTTAAACTCCATGAGGCTGGGATTTTTAGTTTAATTCAATTTAAGTTTTAGCAGTACTGGGGATTAAACCCAGGTATGCTTTATCACTGAACTACACCTCCAGCAACCCCTCATTTAAATTTTTTTTTTCAAATTTATTTTGAAACAGGGACTCACTAAATTTCCCAGTCTGTACTTGAACTTATGATGCTCTTGCTTTAGACTCTAGAGTAGCTGGGATTACAGGTGTGTATTAATATGCCTGGTTAATTTTTTAAAAAAATGTTTATCAGTGTATCCTTAATGCCTGATAGACAGTGGTTGTAAACACTCAAAATATTTTTGACAGAACATAGGAGCCAGTTTGAAGTAGTTTCCAGTGATCAAATCTGAAACACCTTGAGTAAAAAAGTAAATAATAATAAAGAAGTATTACAACCCATTGAGTAATATAAGAATCCACAAAATACACTGAAGAAAATAAATGAATGTGAAAACTCTTAATTCAATAGAAAACCAACTAATGAATGTAGAGAACCATCATTTAGCAATCAACCACATTAATACTCAATTCAATCATAAATCATAAATGTACATTAACCTATTGGGAGCAAGTTTGAAGAGTAGAAAGAAGTACGTGCTTGGTCTCAAAGCAACCCATCATAGAGTGCTTGCTAATTACAAAAAGTAAAATATTATTTCACAATGGAGAATTTTTGTACACAATACTTAATGCAAATTATCAAAATTTATGCTGTCAAGAACAGGATGAATGGGCAGAATACAGCTCCCAATGGGATGCAGCATCCCTCCTGTGACATTCCCGCCCAAAGAGCACAACCAGTGTCTCATCATAAGGAAATACACAAGCTCAGATGGAGCCAGTTCTATAATATAATTGATGTGTACGCTGAAAACCCATCAATGTCATAAAGTACAAAGGCAGACTCAGGAACTATTGCAGATTACAGGGGACTAAAGACACATGACAACTGAATCTAACTAATGGACTTGGATTTTCATTTTCTATAAAATACATGACTTGGACACCTGGTGTGTGGATACTTTATCAATACTATTTAATGTTCAATGTTAATTGTCT